TGACTAAAAGAATTTTTATAAAATATTTTTTCCTTACTATAATAAATAGCACAACTAATGTTAAGCTATTTATTCGTAAGAGTAGTATTGTTTGATTTCATATTTATATTTTCGATATATATTTTATCATTTAGTTTACTCTATCTATTCTGATCTTTGTATCGTACATTAGATAGTAGAGTGAATTAGAACACAACTTATACATGTTAGTTATGCTGTAGTTCTTATTGTTGAATTAATCAAGAACTTCTTTATTGTAGAAATCTTGTCATAAACTCTGTTCGATGATTATTATCCACTTTGAAAAAAATATTTAGAGTTTATTGATAAAGTATATGTGCATATTCGATCATTATCTCCTAAATTATTCTACGGCTCACTATTCTATATGAAAACTGATGAAGAAAGTCTTTCAACTGATAAATCGCTTTTAAGTCGAAACTATGTTCATTATGTAGACTCAAATGATCTATGAAAATCCACAAAAGAATTCGTGCCTTTACCTTATAACTGCGGAGATACTGTACTTTTGCGGTATTTTTTAAATGATGAATGCTTTGGTCTAGAAAAAAAACTGATTTTCGAATTTCGATGTGAAATTTTCACATAGAGACAGACCTTTTGATTCACTTCTATCCTGATATACAAGCATCAAATCTGCCGATTTATATGAGCGATGTAAAAAATGCACTATCACCATAGTTGTATTCTAAAATAGGAACAGTGACACGATCTGAAACATTCACAATAGACTAGTCTCATCAAGATCTGTCTCTATATAACGTTTCAGTTCGAAATTCGATAATCAGTTTTCCTAGTGTTCTTCAGAGAGACCAGGGTATTCATTTAAAAAATACTGTAAAAGTGCAGTGTCTTCACAACAATAAGCTATGGACACGAATTCTTTTCAGGATATTCATAATGGACGCAGTCTCAACTCAAAAGCGATTTACAAGTTGGAGGATTTCTCTCATGAAACATTCATGATTGCTGTGAGATATCAAGTTAAATTCCAAGATTTCAAGTAAAATTAATTAATGGTAGCAAGACAACTACAATAAGAAATTTCGATTTCAATCGTATATTAGTATATAAAACAAATTTGCAATTTTCTCAACAAATCCTTGCTCTTCATCAAAAGTTTCTAATTGTAGAGTAGACTAAATGATAAAATATATATCGAAAGCATAAATATGAGATCAAACAATGATAGTCTGAAGAATAAATAGGCTAAAATAAGGTATGTGGTTAGACAGATATAATTAAATTTATTCCGATCATCATACCCTTTTAGATGCTAATGATAATTGAGGATAACCATCAAATGAGAATTCCGGTAATACAAAATCTTGCTCGCCTGGGTCTTCTATTGCTGTAAATTTAATACCGTGATTTTCACTTCTTTGATCAGGTAAATAATTTTGTCTGTTAATAAATATAAAATTGATTTTATCGAATGTTCTACTCGAATTACAAGACCCAATCATTATAACTATTTTTGAGATTTTAATAAGCTGCTGACTAAAGTCCTGGAAACTGTCAATCCAATAGTCGCATAACATGAAGGAGAACAGCAGAAAAAAGAAACAAAAGAAAAGATCAGCACCATTCAATATCTCTACTTGGATCATTACATGTATTTTCATCATCTTCAAGGAACCTTATATCACATAATATCACTGTACACATAAGCTGTTGCCAAATTACAGGAATAAAAAATTTCGGAATATAAATTTTAAAAAAAAGCATGACTTCACAGGTCTCTAATAATGGCTCCAAAAATGGATTATAGAGAATTAATTTCAAATTTTTTCCGTAATATTAAGTCACATAAAGAATCCAAATAATAATTTACATAGGGAAGACTGTTTTGAACAAGAGTTTGAAGAAAATAAAATTTTTTTTTGATTACATGGCGTAGGTGAACAAATAATTCTCTCCAAAAGGACACATCTTTGAGCTCTCCAGGACATTTTTTTGACTTAACTCTTAAATTTAAAAAAAAAAGCTCGAAAGTCCTTGTTGTCCAGTTTTCCTTTTGGAGATGGGAAAAAAACTATCTTTGTGCACTTCTTGACATCGATGTAGTTCATTGAAAAGATGTCCTGAAGAACTCGGAGACATCTTATTTTCTAGAGAATTATTTGCTCTTCTACGCCATTTAATCAAAAAAATACTTTTATTTTCGAATTTTGGATGCTGAAAAACTAGCTTTCGGGTTTTCTAGAGATCCTGAGTTTTGTGAATAGGAGTGTGGGTATATTCTTGGTATACGATCATAGATTGCATATCAACAACATCTGCTACGGTCCGTGGTAGAGAGGAGAAGAATTTCTATTCAATATACTTGAACAATCTTTTTAGATAGTGTTTCACAAAAACGTTTTATTATAGGGCAACACATCCAGATCAATTGATACAGGCATTATTTTTCACTTGTATTTGAGATAAGAATGAGCGATAATCTCCATATTTTGAAGGTCAAATTAGGTATCTGTATTGGTTATAAACATTATAGCCAAAATGAATGAAGAAAATTCAATAATTTTCGACTTTCTCTTATTTTTCCTTGTAGAAAGCAACATGATGATACATGTATTCAATGCTAGCAATCTATTAAAATTTCAAGAATAGCTATCAAGACTGAATCTTGTAATCTGAATAGAATGTTGAATGAAACATCTTTTGAAAACAAAGTTCAACGTTTTATCATGTTCCTGAATAGAATTACCTATAAAACAAAAAAGTATCGCAAAATTTTTGTCGCATTCGATATTAGTTTTTTGATAAAAAAAAAAGAACTAAATACATACTTATAAAATTTATAATCAGGTACAATTCGAGCTACACCATAGATTGATTGGTTATTTGTAATCGATACATCAAATCCATTTAATAATGTTTCTAAACCAAAATAATAAATATTCTCTTTTGATAAAGAACTTAATTTATTCATTATTGAAACGTATAAACAAGTTGTTTGAGATGTTTGTTTTAATTTATGTTGTAAATTTAAATGATATTGATAGAATGGTACGAACCATCGCCATAATAAACTATAACCAACTAATTTTTTTCCAGTAGGTTCATCAATAATAAGAAGAATAATTTCTATAAATAAACATATTTAATTTACATTATGATAAAATATATGACAATTATTTCTGTTTTTTTTGTCCTCAAGATCTTTCATTTATTAGATTAAACAAATATTCTTTTACCCTCCGACAGACTTTTCTCTTCTGATATATCTGCATAGATCATTTCATTCCATTGAGGTGAAACACCTTCAACATAATTTGTTGCATTAATTGTTTCTACATTATCTTGTCCTGTTATAGTTGTATGACTTTGTCTAGATATATAAATAAACAATTTTAAAAATAATCAAAATTCATATGATTACGCTGTAACATAACATTGTGGTATACGACCATCTATAGTAGGTAAATTAGCTGCACCATGTACGAGTATATGAAGAAGTTCTCTACAACGTGGTGCAACATGTGGAAACAATGCACTATATTTTGCTGTTGCCATTGTTAGTAAATAGTTTTTTACGAACAAAGAGAGAAATATATTGATTTGATTTTGAAAATGTGTCGACACTTCACATATAATTGATCAATAGTTACGAACAATCAACAATGTAAATAATAATTATGACATTTTCTTTCTTTTATTCTACGTCATGTCATTTTTGTCTTGGTTAGTAATAGTCGAATTTGAATGGAAGAAAATTTCAACAATCAAATTGAATTATTCTCTGATGGTTTAACAATTAATTTTGAAGTCTTAATAATTTGTCTCATGCAACTCAAAAGGACTTACCTGATATAACATGTCTCTATTCATTAAAATTAATCTTGATAATGCTGATTTATTGAATATTTTATTTCATGTTTGGTTTCGAATCATTTATAAAATTCAAGAAATGTTTATTTATTATAATCAGATCAATTATTTAATTCATCGATGAAATATTTCTATTTAGTTATTTTGAAATGAATATAGAATTCATATCTTTATTCAAATATGAACTTGTAACCAATAATTCTCTTATAGCAAATAGTTTTAATACTTATATTAATTCAATCGATAACTTTATTTATCAAAAATGAATGTATATATGAAAATAGTATTGATTTTATATTTCATTATCATTGATAAACCATAGATATATTGTTTCAATATAAAGATTAGCTTGTCAGTTTATTATACAAACTCACTGTTTTTTGAAGAATTCTATAAGTCTTGCGAATACTCATGCATTCCTTGTTTCTTTTGCATATCATATCACACATGAATCTCTTTTATTCGAGAACAAAAAAAGCAAATAAAGATTTTTTCTTTTTTATTATCTCTGCTATAAACCAACATAGTTTATTTGTATTTATTTCAATATATTCAAAAAACAGAGAATAATGATATAATAATAAATATAAATAATAATAACTCACGTTATATCTCCTTCATCCATTCTTCTTCTTTCAAATTTCATCTTCTTTTTTGAACATTATTTTTCTTCATTTACTTCTCTCTATTCATCATACCGTTTTTTCCGTAAATTTTCTTTAGAAATATAAAATATTTTCTTTTCTTTTTTTTTTTCTTCTCAGGAACAATCTTCAAACAAATCTTCCTTTCTTCATAACAAAACTCTTCTTTCTTCTTTAAGTATGTTTACATAATTTCTTTTTTCTTGATACACATAGAATGAAGAAAAAAAAACAAAACAATCAATTTGAGAACCTTATCGTGCAGGAACAAAAAAGGAAAACACCATGAAATAGACAAGAGAAAAAAAAATGAAAAAACGTAGCGCAGAATACACATACACAAAGAAAAAAAAAGACGAAAAAGAAATCATGTTGGATGAGTATAGAGTTAGTTTAAACACTTTTTTTTTCTACTTTCATAGCAAAAAAAACAATGTTGACTAGACACTCACCCCGATGAGATTCGTCAGCAGGGAATGAATGCCATTTTTATTTTTCTATTCAATCATATCCATAGCCTGGACTTCGACGTCGACGATCACCACCTAAAAAATAAATAAATAAATAAATAAATTCATTAATTTCAAAATTCTTACCACGTCGAGATCGTGATCGACTTCGACTATGAGAACGTGATCTAAATAATTCAATATAAATACATTCAATAATATATATTTATCAATTCTAGATTAACACACCGAGATCGATTATTATGATGACGATGTCGTCGATATGATCTTCGATCGGGTGATGGTGAACGACGATAACTATGTCCATTTGATCGATGATATGATGTTGTACGAACACCCATATAAATACCAGGTGCTTCAAAATTAATAAAAACAATTTAAAAAGTCAAAAAAAAAATAATTATAGATTAACTCACTTGGTGTATGAGCACGTTTTGTCACCGAATAATCAATACGTAAACGATGATGATCAAGTTCAACGGAATTAAGAGCTTCTTTAGCCTAGGACACAAAAACAATAATAAATTTGAATGAAAAAAAAAACAATGTTTTTTTTATTTCGTTTTTTTTACTCGTGTTGCACTTTCAATCTCCTCAAAATAAACAAAACCAAATCCACGGGATTTATTTGTTTTTTTATCAATTACAACTTGTACATCTTTTATTCGACCAAATTTATGAAATAGATCTAAATCAAGTATAAAATAATTATTTCAAAAAGTCAATTGTAAAATAATTTATGAAAATACCTTTTAAATCACGTTCAACTGTATATTGTGATAAACCAAAAACTCCAAGTACTGCACTTGCTATTGGATTTTCACGATGAACTTCATTTGGTTGACGACGACCACCTTTTGGACTTGTCGGACTACGTCTTGATCGATGACGTGATGGTGAACGAGAACTATTAAATAAAAAACAAAAATTTCATAGTTTTTTTTTTCGAATGAATATACAAAGAGTTTTTCTCTAGTGCATAAACCAACAAATTATATTTATCTTCCACAAAAATGATTCATGTTTGTAAAAAGATAAACACTCAATGCAATCTTTTCTGTTTTCACTTAACACCACATTTATTTTACAAAAAACCAAATCTTATTACTCATTGTACAAACAGCGAGTTATAGTTTTAGGGAGTTGCGAATTCTTCTGGGCCGAGTTCAGGTCCACAACAATGTGGACCTGGATCTCTCTACTTGATTGATCTTGTTTACATAAGGAGTATAACTACAACTATTCCATGCGGTTAAAAATCTTGAGTGTTACTATTGGTGTGACGAATTTTATTTTGTCAATTAACTGTTCAATTTTCTTTTTTTTGTTAATGTAATGCTCTTCTTAACTAAACGAAAACTTTGATTGTTCATGTATACAAAAAAGGGACAAATATTGCTGCAAAAAAAAACTTGAGTCTGAGTACCCAAAAACCTGGACCAACAGCTTCTTAAATGATTTCAATAATTAAAATGTTGTTTTTTTTTGGTTCAAACCTCATCAAAGATCATAAATACTACAAGTATATGTGTCAACTCATCAAGCCGGACTATCACGAACACATTCAATTGATTGGGTAATTTTTTTGTGATTATATACACTCTTCAGCTTTTATAAATCCAAACTGTATATTAATGACAGAGTCATAAGAAAGCCGAGTCCTTCCAGAGAACGTCTGCAGAGGGGATCAGTCTTTTCCTGACACTATTACTATTGTATTTTTATTGTAATCTTGAATGAAGGACATAATAACAACAAATCATAAAGCTTATCATTTTTAGATTTAATCATAAGTAGACTATGAACTAAAAGAATAACATACTATCGTCTTGGTGATGGTGATCGACTTGTTCGTGGCGAACCAGGCGATCGTCGACGTGATCGTCCATTTTCTCGTTCTCTTGAATACTAAATTAAAAATAAAACTAGATTTTTTTTCTTTATCAAAAAACAAAATTTCAATACTAACATCATGATCACTCATATTGTCGTATAAAATAATAATTAATTTCTAAATGAAAGAGAAATATGAAAAACAAACAAACAAATAAACATATAAATAAGTAACAAAGAATTGTCATATATATATATTTATGTATATATATATGTATATAGCGACATATTATTTCATTGGTAGATATTATATGACGATCATGTGAATTCATTCTCCTGACTTGTTTCAATCAGGAAGAATAAAGAGAGCGCTGTCTGCTGTCTGAAAACGATAAGTTCATTTAGTTTTTTTTTTTTGATTCTATTCGAATAATGAAATTTCGTATTAAATTTCATAATCAAACATCTTCAATAACATTCGATGATATTAATGAAAATTTATCTATAAATGATTTAAAAAATACAATAATAAATAATTTTCCATCATTAAGACAGTCAAATTTTCATTTATCACTTAATGGTAGAGATTTATTAGATGAAAATCAAACAATATCTCAATCTGGTCTTGTTAATGGTGATACAATCTATATATTAAATGAAATAAATAATGATAATTTATCATCATTATCAATATCATCTATTGATCAACCATTAACACTTGATGAAGTACGAGATTTACAAACATATCCAAAATTAATACATCATCTCGTTGAACATTCTCGACCAGAAAATGATTTTGATTATATGGTTATAGTTATGCATGCTTTAATGCTTGAAAGTGGCTTTCAAATGGTAAGAAAAAACAAAACAAATACAAAAAAAAACAGATTTTTAACAAAAAAAAAAAACTTTAATTTTTAGGATGCAGAAAATAATTATGATTTAAAAATTGCACGAAAATCATCAACATTTTATGTTATTCGTTATCGACATAAATTATGTGAAAAAGAACGTATTAGATGTTCATTAGCAATTATGAAAACCGATTCATTAGTAACAATTGATGGTAGAATATATTTTTTTTAAATTTATTTATTTTATTAGTGTATTTTTTTTGTTTTGATATTTAGGTGTTGTCAATTCAATTTCACAAGCTTGTGGAAAATTATCATTTAATATTGGAAATTATTTACATACACAAAAAGAAGGTATGACAAAAATATGTTTTTATCTTTATTAGAAATTAAATAAATATTAGTTCTAGAAAATTTCTTCGAATTTAAATATAAGTTTTCAAAGAATAGTGTAAAATAGTTTAGACTAAAGAGACGTTAAAAATAATTTTCAAAATAAGATAATTTCCACGTACTCTTTACTATTAATTATTCATTCTTGAATATTCTAAAATAAATAATATGAATTTTCTTTTAGCAATCGCTTTAAATGCAGCGTTTCCTTATCATAATCTTCGTGATTTATCACGATTATTCAAAGATAATCTAGCAAATCGTTTATTATGTAAATTATTAGAAGGTAAAATATTTTTCAAATTTCATAAAGAGAAAAAAAAATATTTTAATTAAAATTAAATATTTCTAGAATCAGGACAACGTTCAAGTGCAACATTAATCGGATTACCAAATGAAATAAAAGTAAATCGATTGATAGAGCAATGTTTTTTTTTTTCATAGATCTATGAATTTATCATTTACCTCGTGTTTTTTTTTTCGATTTTTCTAGCTTCGTTTAGGAAAATATCTTCCAATTAAATCTTTACTTGCACTTCAATTAACATGTCGCGATATTCATAACACTTTAAATGACAATCTTTTTTGGCATGATTTATGTATACGAGATTTTGATAAAACAGGTATAAATATAAATTTTTATTCGTTAATAAATATATCTTAAATAAAAAAAAAATTCTTTAATAGCAATAACATCAGTATCAAATACGACAGAGAATAGCTCAAATGAAAAAAATTGGCATAAATTGTATCAAATAATGTATGCTCAAAAACAAGCCATATTAAGACATCAAACAAAATATTCGCCATTCTTTCATACGACTTTTGTTCCATTAGCGCCACCACCCGGTCATCCAACACATCGAGTTCTTTTTCCAGATCCAACAAATGCAGCATCGGCTGCATTTCATCCTTTTCCACCAGCTATTTATCGACCTATTCCACCAGGCGTATTTCGTAAGTGAAATTGTTTTTTTTTTTTTTGTGTATTAAATTTGCGCTTTTTGCTATAATAATTATCCTAGCAAAAAATCACGACTCATTCTCTATCTCTGTTTTTTTTTCTAAAAAAAAAAAAAAGGCATTTGTACTGCAAATACACAGCAGGCACAAACAACACAGCATCAGCAAGCACAACATCATATTTATTGTCAACCACTTTTTGGTTTAAAATGGGTCGTGATTTTTGCAGGTATATGCTTAATTTAAATTCATAATTAAAAAAACAATACAAAATAATATTTTCATATAATTTTTATTTCAAGCTGCTACTATGATTCCACTACCGCCATGTTTTCATCCTGTTTGGCTTGGTTAAGAAAGAGAAAAAAAAATTCTTTTGTTTCGTTTTTTTGTCTACTCTCATTTATCCACGATCGTTAGGTTTTCATATATGCATATATATATATATATATATTTTTTGTGTTTTGTCTTCTGTCATGTATATAGACATTATATTGGCGGTCTCTCTAGTGCATCTCACCTAACATAATCGTTTGTTGTTTATTTCGATGTGTAATAACGGTGTGTCTCTGTTCGTTTGTTGTTATTGAACATTTATTGTCTGTTATAACTAGTGATCTGCAACTCCTCTATTATTCTTTTTTTGTTTTTTGTTTTGTATGAAATAAGGCCTCTTTATCTTCTTTAAAATAGAAAGAGAGAGAGAGAGAGGTAGTAGGTTATTTGCTTTTTATTCTTGTATCATTGTGAAATAGTAATTTTCAAAAAAACTAACAACAACAGCAACAACAACAACCACAATAATAAGCATAGCATTGAAGATGATCCATCGCGCTTTTTTTTCCTTGGTTTTTTTCTTTCCTAGCTTGTGTATGATCATTGCATAAAGATTCGTTTAGCTTCCAACATTTCTTTTACGGGTGTTGTGTTTCTATCTATATATCTATCTATCTATCTATACATATATATATTATACTAAAACGTTGATTTATTCGTTTTGTTTTGCACACATTCACTCTTTATGATATTTGTATTAACGTATGCTTAGATAGGAATATATTAAAAAAAAAACAAATTATGGTTTTTTTTTCTCTTTTTTTTTTTTTTTGTTTGGTTTTCGTTTTTTTTTGTAGACGTGTGTGCTATATATTTCTTTCATACGTACACTCAAGCAAACATTTAAAATATTTGAAAAAAAAAAGAAACCAAGCTGTACGTTTGATGTCTATCCGTTCGTTTTGTTTGTTTTTTTTTTGGCGTGATATCATCTATCATTTAACAAAATATATCTAGCATTATTTGATCGGATATGATCTATCCATAATTGGTTTAATTTAATTTATTTTGTTTTGCTATTTTATATGATCAAGATTGTTTTTTTTTTGCATCATTTTTATTTTTTCAATGAAATCAAAATAGATTGATTTTGCTATGTGTACAAAATTCTAAGTACGGAAGAAATTATGAATTCAATTGTATGTGTAATATTCAACCTCTTTTGAAGCGAGGTTTAAAATAAAACAACAAGATTTGCATTGTTGATTATATTTTGCTATGAAAGAGTTTTTCAAATTATTCGAATCTAAAAAGTTTAGATGCATTTCTTACTTGTTTTCTGAATGTTTATATTCAAGACGAAGATTCAAAATTCTTATGAGATTTATTATAATAGTGACAAATTTAGAAATGGGTGATCCCTCTACATTCTGAAATATTTTTCTCAACAGAAAACACACCAATATCACCTCTAATTTAACTGGAAAACATACTTTGTAACGATGATCGTCCCCATTTACCAAAATCCTAGATTCGCCACTGTATATGACAAATGAAACGTTCGCATGATACTCTATGAAATTCTCCAAGTAACAAAAATTTGAATTTAACAAGATTTGTGTTTTTGAACAATAGTTAATAATATTCATATATAGAAATTTTAGCAAAATGAATGAAAACCTTGTTTTTTTTATTGTTCTAGTTCGTGATGATATTCGTCGAAACGAATAAATACACGATATTATTTAAAAACTTTAATATTTTATTTTTGTTTCTTTAATGTTTTCAATTACGATTTTCTATCGATTTATTTTAGATTGTCAATATTCGTTCTCTTCTATTTATGATTGTACAAGAGTATAAATAATATTATCATGAATAAATCTTGTTTAAATACTTAAAATTGTTGACTTCAAGTTGATTACATGATTGCTTTTTTCTTCAATCTCAATTTTCAACATATTAAAGGTATTAAATCGAAAAGACATTGAATACGAGAAGAACGTGCTTTTTTTTTCTCTTTCAGATCAAATGATATACTCAGTGTTTTATCTAGGTTTCGTTTTTCGGGTGGGCAGCTACAATTTTCAAAAGGACTGTTGGCTAAAAATTTTTCTATCATATAGCAAAAGCACACAAAGATTCTAATTTATTCTTTTTCAAAACACAATTACACTTTTCATCTGATAACAATACAATGTGAAAAAAAAAACTTGAAAACAAAACAAAACGCTGTGAGAAAAAAAACAATAAATCTAAATGAGAAATTTTGTGTAACTTTTTACTTTTCCGAAAATTAATAATTAGATTCTTTAGATCATTATATAAATCATATAATCCTCCTATTCATATTATGATATGATATTTAAGTTTTGAAAGAAAAAATAATTTCAAAAAATTAAATCTCTTAAGGAATCAAAAATTCGAAAAATCGAAATCTTGAAAAATCAGTATTACGAAACAAAAAGGCTCGAAAAAAGTAATCACTAAAAGAAAAAATATCAAACTCAGAAATCTCGAACAGCTAGAATTACATGATTAGTAAAGAATTCCTATAGATGCACACAGTGACTCTAATCGTGTCGGATGTAGGTGCGGACATGATTGAGAATATGGATGAAGTGAAATGGTAAGTTTGAAACTGTCTGTCGCCTTTCTGAACTCTCATCGGTCGACCTGTGCGTAAGTTTCATTGTATATATCTGTCATATGCCCGATTAGTATTATATAGTATGGTTATAATTATGAGATAGTACGTCAACGTACTTTAGATCTCATTTAAGAAAATTATAAGGACATAGCAATGATGTGAAAAATAACAAAAAATATCATTTTTGAAAAGTTTCGGTTCGATTAGATTATTTCTATATTTTATACTTTGAAATTTTTCCTTTCAAGATTGGATAATAATTTGATATTCTCATTAATTGTTCTAAATGTTCTGTTATTAAACGATTTTGCAGATCACTTAGTATTTTACTAAATGTACTAAATACTGATGAGTAAGTAATAGACGAAAATAGCGTGAATTAAACAATGATTAATATAACTCTTTTCGACTAAACTTAGTAAGGAGCTTCAGATGTCAGAAACATAACAACGTCAATTTAAGACAAGGACGAATCAGGAAATTAAATAAAATTAGTTAAGCTATGTAGAGAGTAAGTCAATTTAAATTTATTAGTGTCAAGAATAATAGAGAACATATAGGAAGGACACTTTTTGATGTGGTGTGAAAAAGACAAATATCCATCGAAAAGTATGTTAGTAAGATCTACAGAAAAAAATCATACGACTGATGAGCTAACAATTCAAATATTATCAAATCCCACATCCTTTACTACCACTTGAAAAAGACAAAATGAATTATGCTGATAATGAGAGTGAAAGTGGGAGAACACATCTACTTTTTTATGAAACCAATTTTTTATATTTCTGAGTGGATCCCGCTAGATAAAACACTGGATTTACGGTAAACGATAGTCTATCAATTGATCAGGAGGCAAAGAAAAAATACAAAGTGACTATCATATCATGTTCGTTTCATAAACATTAAAAATACTGTTTTTTTTTTGATTTTACTATTTTAAGAAAATAACAACAAGTAGATATTTTATTTCTTAGTTTGTTTCTTTTTTGTGGAACGTTTTACCAGTAAATAGGAAGATAAAGAAGAAGAAAAAAAGAAATGTAAGAATAGGAATACAAGAACAAGAACAATAACAGAGGCATTAAGCAGAAAAACTAAAAACAACAACAACGACAAAAGAGAGTTTCTTGATTTTAATGTTTTTTTTTGTGTGTTTGATTCGATAGGTATGTTTTGAATATACAAAGAAAAAAAAGTCGTTTCAAATTTAATTTCCATTCCATAGACCTGATTCTTTAACAGCCATTTGTAGAAAATATTGTGCTTGACTTATTTGAGTCGGTGAACCTTGTATTGTTATAATTCGATCATTTGAACCTGGTGCTGGATCATCAATACGAATCATAGCTCCAGACGTTTGACGTATTTGTGCAATTTTTGTACCACGATGTCCTATAATACAACTAGCTAAATGATTTGGAATAGTAACTTGATTTGTTTGAGCTTGGGATGTATTATAATTTGAATCATTTCCAGTTATTAATGGACGAGGTACATTTTGTGGCGGTGGTGGTGGTGGTCCTTGATTATAATTATCATTTGGACCAGTTGGATAATTATTATTATTATGGTTATACGGTGGACCTTGAAAACCACCTTGATCACGTGGACCACGATATCCTGTTTGTGGTGGACCATTACCACTTTGTTGATTCATCATCATACCATGTTGAATATCAGAAAAACCACCTTAATGAAGAAAACAAAAAAAAATTGTTTTTTTTCTGTTTTGAATTTTTCTTTTTTTTTTAAACAAACCATATTCAGATGAAAGATTTTCATCAAAATTAAATGGATCATAGAAACACATTTGTCCACGTGGTGGTGTTTGTTCAAGTATACTAAAAACTTCACGTAAACAACGTTCAATATCATCAGCACGACCACGTAGAGCAACAACACGTTCAGTTGAAAATGGTAAACATTGAACAAATACTTTCATACCAACATTATATTTTGATCGAAGTTCACGAACACGTTCACCTCCTTTGCCTAAAAGAAATCAAAATAAAAACATTTGGTTTTTTGTTTTCTTTTTATTTAAATTTACCTATAACTGCTCCTGCTTGACTTTGATGTGTAAGTAAACGTATTTCACTTTGATCATTTTGTACTCGTTGATTATCTCTCATTGTTGGTAATATATCAATAATAGCTGCTAAACATGAATCATAATCACCTTGAATTGTTAAAACACGTTCTGGTCCCTATCAAAACAAAAACGATTTCATTTAGTAAAGAATAACGAAAAGCAAAAATAAAATCTAATCGACATACATTACAATCGGGTACTTGTATAATAACTTTATGTTTCTGTCGAAGTGATTGAATATTTGAACCTTTTTTACCAATAATAGCTCCAGCATCACGACTACATACCAAAAAACGTACTTCAAGTCGTCCATGATTATTTGCATTACCACCACGAT